CCACACCCACACCAACACCACTATTGAGAAGGTGACAAGGGAGAGGAAGAGGGAGAAAAACGGCGGCTCTGTAAAATTATTATCCCCAAATTTAGGCAAGAATCTTGGCTAAGACCCAAACCCTAATTTTTGTTTACGAGTACTCAAAATTACAATGAAGCATGAATTTTATAGTGAATTAGAACACCTATCAGCACGAGAATTGTGTTTCTCTTCTTTAGAGAGCTAGACAGGCATTCCAAAGCGCTCGGCTCTCTTCACCTTCTTCTGAACATCAGTAGCGGTTGCAGCGCTGTCAACATCATCAGCTTTCCTAGTCTCCATGGTCGACACAAATTGTGGGAAAGATTACTTTTTCAGTTCGTGAGACGGGAGGGAGAGGGAGGAGAGGAGGGAAAAGGGGAGGCGACGGGAATGGTGGAGAGGGAATTGAAAATTTTGGTTAAGAATGAGGTTTTAATATACTACCTGGTTTTTGGAAAAATAAACTTAAAACTTGATTTTTTAAACGTTAAACCTGATTTTTAAAAAGGTAAACGTGATTTTTAAAAACGTCAAACTAAACCCCTGGTTTTATGTAATTTTCCCTTCTAATTTCAATCGTCCAAATCACATAAGGCCCGCTAGACTATTAAGAGCTTTGGGTTTTACCTATTGGACCCTTTGGCTCTTTATTAGTTCAGGCTGTTCTACCGAACTAATTTGTTGGATCTATTTAGTGGTGACTCTTTGATCCATATACAATCCAATTCTTCATCCAGTGCCTCTTGGTTTCCTTCAACGCGGATTATAGACTACTTTTATAAAGGGAAATTTACAAAAATACACTTAAAGTTAGGGGTCGTTTGAAAATCATATGAAAAATATTTTAGAAGTAAAAAATACTGTGTAAAAGTAAATATTCTTTTTCTATTAAAAAGTGACATTGTGTCACTTTTCAAAATAAAGTATCATTTTTTTTAATTATAAAATGACATACAATATCACTTTTATTAAAAAAGTGATGTTTGTCACCCAAAAAATTAATAAAAATTTCAAGAAAATGACATAAAAGAGTAAAAAAATTACTAAACAAAGTGACAATTCAAAAAAG